TGGGGTGGCTTGATCCTTGTTTCGAAAAATGCCAAAGAAAAAAGTTGCTCAGTTTCCAATTTTATACCTTTGCTCGAAATTTGGACTCGCTATTGTCACTTCGACTTTTTTCAATTCTTATTATTTTTCGAATCTTCACTCTATCGATTCGAACGAAACATTATTCAAATTTCATAATTTTAATGAATACGAGACTTCGATGTCATATCTTACACAGAAAATACCCGCATTGGCCTGTTACCAGAAAAAGAAATGAATACACTTCCAGAAATTCGTCTTTGTTGTTGCAAAGTTCATTTTGTATTTTAATTTCATTGTTAAACTGATTCGGATTTTCAATGTATGGACGTTAATATGTCAGTAATCTAATAAAGGTATTTTCCTTCATTCTTATTACATTTGTATTATTTTTTTAATAGATTTTTATCCAGTTCGATTATTTTTCTGAACAAGTTACAAACTAACCCGAAATATAATTTTATGTAAACTAAACATTGACCTAGAGGTTCATAACTATTCAAAAGATTTTCGTTCTAGCGATTTGCACTAAACATCATATAAAATTTCGTGATTTTAAACACTACAAAACTAATGCAACATGCCAGGAAGAAAATAGTAGGTACTAATCAAATCAAAATAAAATTTTCGCTTAGTAGGCTTTTGAAACAAATTTTCAGTTTTGTTTAATGAATCGAGTTGTTTTGTGTACAGATTTTCGTACATTTATAATTCACAAATAAACTTTATGTACTATGTTATCTACCCAAGACAAAGTGGAAATCGTCCTTTTATGTAGTGAGAATGTGCCATATCGAGGTGTTGCCTCGGCATCCAGCAAGAAATATTCACTTCAGTACCGAGGAAAGGTAATTGAAAACATTCAAAGAAAGTGGCTCTGTGGACAATCGTTTCAAGAAACCACATAATTCAATAAATTATACTGAAGAAGAGCAAATCAATGCTTTTTTGAGCGTTGTTGATAACATAAAAACGAATATTGGGAGTATTAGTGAATATACAGGGGTTGGCAGAGAAACTGTGAGCCAAAGTTCATACACATTCTTAAAGATAGAGATTTCGAAATTCGAGTAGGATTTTCATTTTGGTTCCAAAGTGAGTGAGAAAATGATATCGCATTTCCCTACAGGATTTTATGGACAAACGAGGCAATTTTCACGTCGAACTGAACAGTTAGTTCCTAAAATTGTCGCTGGTGGTCCAACAATAATCAAAATTTTGTAATAGAATGCTATGATCAATATCATCCGAGACAAATGTGTGATGTGGGTTATTACATAACCAAATAATTGGATCATATTTTTTTAGAGAAAACAAAAACAGAAATTTTATTATCAATCAGTTTTCTGAATTTTTAGATAATCTGCCTCTTAAGTGTTAGACGAAATTTGTGGTATCAGCTTGACGGGCATGCGTTTATTCGATTACTGACATATTAACGTCCATACATTGAAGATCCGAATAAGTTTAACAATGAAATGAAAAACTAAATGAACTTTGCAACAACAAAGATGAATTTCTGGAGGTGTATTCATTTCTTTTTCTGGTTACAGGTCAATCCGGGTATTTTCTGTGAGATATGACATTATAGTATCGTATTCATCAAAATTATGAAATTTGAATCGTTTCGTTTGAATTGATAGAGCGAAAGATTCGAAAAATTAAAAAAATTGGAAAAAAGTCGAAATGACAAGCAATGGAAACTTGGTAGCTGAGCAACTTTTATCTTTGGCATTTCTCGAAATTTACAAAAAAAATGTTTTGAGAATTTTCGAAAAAATGTCAAATTTGACAGGTTTAGAGTAGCACTTGACCAAATGATTCCTTGATTACTAATCGGTATGTGAAACAAACTAATTCAGGAAGATATATCAATTACTATTCCTTTCATAAAAAATCAGTTAAAATCAATTTAATACTGTTTCAAAAAAAGAATAGAAAAATTAGTACACCCTTCCCTAAAGCAAAAAAATCTCAGAATTCTTTGAGACATATTAATCGAAAACTTCTCAATAAAATAATGTTTAATACTGGCAGTAATACAAATTCCGATGTAATCAACAGAAATGTCTGTAATGATAGTTCACCTATCAATTTTTTTTACAAATCTATACCTAACCTTGGAAATTTATCTTCAAATATCATAAAACTTTTTCATAATGAACAAAATATCAAGATGGGATAAACTTATGAAAGTATTGTATTTTCACCAATTCTTGATAATTACTTATCAACTAAGTCAAGTTTTTTCAGATACACACAAGTAGGGGGTTGCCATTTGAGAATATGAAGTTGGGGTGGCTGAGGGCGAAGGGGTACGTGAAAACAGGTTAGATATTACATCATTTTGTTTTACCCTCCCTATTATGGAAGTTGTTTTCAGCGATTTCTTATATTTTATTTGGTTGCTCAGATATAGGCATTATAAGTTTTCAAATTGTCACCCTGTACATTAGTTTTCTACAAATATTTAAATTTATTATGAGTTTTCATTGATAAATTAACATTTTTGAATAGATTGTTTTATTTTATTTATTATTTGCATTATCGAATACATAAGTAATTACTGTTGGTTGATTGTAATACCGAGACAATAGGCTAATTTATCTTGTAGAAAAAACATATGATACTTTTCTCCAAATTCTTCAAAGCCTACTCTACCGTAAATGTGTGCTCGCACCTCTTGGTCTTGCCCCTACAATAATATACGAAACGTAACTCTGTCTCTTTCTATCTTCACTAACTTATACATCCCTCTCAACTTCTGTTCGCCTCGCCCGATCACACACTTTCTGTAACGCGCTCGTCACGCATTCACCAGCTTACTCCAAAGTCAAACGCACGTAAATAGAATTCTGTATGATTCTAAGAAAGTTGTTAAGTCTAACTAGAACTAATTCTTGAATGTAGCATACAAATATACATCATTGTGGTGTGATTTAAAAACTAACCGTGCGTCTAAATGCTGATCCCTACAGCTAAGCCAATGAAACAGTTCCCTAAATGTACAGTACAATCTGCACATTTAACAGAGAATAGTTTCTTTTGTTTCAATGCAAGTGCAAGTAACAGCATAACATTTCTGTCGGACATTTTCCTCAGGTGTAATCCGACCTTTAATCACATGGACATATGCAACTGTTGAATCTCCAAAAAAGTCTCGTTCAGATCTGAAATAAACAAGTATTTAAGTACTCGAAGATAATTGTTGATGAAAATCGATTTTTTAGCATACATCAAATCATTACATATTTATATAGGTATTTACAAAAAATTAATGAATCTATCTTACTTGAGTGAACTGCAATAATATAGAATTATGTATGAGATATTATGATATAGATGTAAAATAGTTTTGTAACAATTTTAATGACAAATGTTTATGTATGGGTTATGTTTTGGTATATTATAAACTGCTGTGCTTTTATGAATAAAAATCTATGCTATGAACTAAAATATATCAGCTTTCATTTTTTCGATCTCTGCACAAGTAAAATCAAAATTTGATGAAAAAATATGGTGTCATCATAAATGCATCTATTTTCGGTAGATTGTCCGATTGTGCTTTGACAAAACAGTTTCAGTAATCGCCCTAGATTCACTGCAAATCTAGATTCATTAGAAATCACCACGGGAATACAGGTTAGAACTATTTTTCTCTCAAACATCTAACATAGTATGAAAATCAATGCCGTTGAATACAATGTTGTGTCATCTGACGTCGCATTTCGTTTCGACTAATGGTGACGCGTTTTGTAAGTTTCAATTTCCCTCCCTTATTTTTCACTTTTTGTATATTTTATGAGTTTAAATAATAACTAAATAAAAAAATACCTTTCAATTATAGTATAACGATAATAAAGACTCGAGAAAAATATTCAAGACAAAATTAAATTTTATGCATCATCTTCTCTATTGTTCTCAGATAAAGGTTTCAATAAATCATACCTAGTACGAGGACGTGTCTTGAATAAATTATGTAAAGGGCTAAACCCTGTTGAGGCAGTTGGTATATTTTTGTATGTACCTAGATAAGAAATGTTGTATTCGCGAATCGATATTATTTTTACTGGTAGTCGCTTCCTTCTCAAGAAAAAGAGTCTTGTTTAATCCTCCTTTGATAGTTTTTACTGCTATTTCTGCTGCTGCATTGTCAAATGGGTGGTAAGGTGGGGATTTCAAAGGTTCAATGCCATTAAATTGCAAAACCATTATTATAAACTCATTTGAATTAAATGAAAGACCATTCCTAAATTAGCTCAACTTCAAATTCGAATGCTGAAAAAATTTCCTTCAGCTTTAAAAATTATATCTTGAGACGTAGTGCCAAGAAATTTTTGTATCTGTGAGTGAAACCCACCAACAATAAGATCTTATCACCATTTTGGATCTAACATAGGCTGTCTGTGAAAAAGTAAGATTTTTTCTTATTGTGGAACTTTTGGAATAACTACTCTGTTTCCCTTCATTAAATAATTTTTTTACTTTATATTAACATATGAGACAATATATTACAAGACAATGACAGGTGATAAGGTATAACATACTATGATGAAGTTCTCTCAGTTCTTTCACTTTGAGAAAGATATTTCCTAAAAAAAATATGTTGTATATATTTAACTCTGTTTCAGCGAAAAACCCATGAAAAAGTAAAAATTTCATTACATTTATTTGTAAAAAAATACGTTGTGGCTTCTACTTAACCATCTTCATCCAGAAATACCTAATTGGAAACTTTAGAAGGAAGGAAAAAAATTACGTTCGAAATAAACTCTTTACAAAGTTGTGTAGGTTATACATAGAAGTTAGTTTCAGATACAAACTGGAAGAAAAAGCCCCTTCAAAACAACTACTTTCACATGAACATTGAATTACACGAAACTATTGTGAATTTTTCAAAAACCGTTTACAAAACCGCCAGTTGAAATGATTAACTGAAATTATTACAGTGCAGATATGTTAATTATTAATTCTTGTTTCAGCACTAAATCAACCAAAGTAGTGAAAGTTCAGACTCCCAGCTCTGCCACAATTGATATCATGTATGACAATAACTCAGTGAGTGACGAAAATTCTGAAGAGATTGGAGGTGAAAATGAACTGATGTGCAAATCTGCTATAAAGGTTTCATGCTTATATTTTTTAAGGTTCAAAACATACTAGCAAAAGGCAGATGCAGTTACTTCGTGGTTCAGAACGTGACTTGAAACTTGATATTGCCAGAGCACAGGCAATTAACACAGAGGACATTAACGACCATCAAGACACTAACATTATGAGAACTCCCAGCTATCAAATAGAGAGTTATAAACGATTCAAAAGCTTAGTTTGCCGAACATTTCCTTGCCAGAAGCAAGAATTGAATAACGTTGAGACTAAGGTTAAGTTCAATCCATTACCAGCAAATGAAAGTACACAACATGATACTGTCAAGTGTCCTACACCAAGAGTTGAATTCTATGAAACATTGCGTTGTCTTGTCAGAATGGGCGGTGGAACCTCACAAGACAAGAATCGTAGAAGAGGGGTAATTGAATTTCATTTTGTTGAATGATTGATTCATCGTAATTATTCATAGCTGAGGAAAATCAATTGATTAGCAAACTATCGTTGGGATAGTCAAAAATAGGTCGACTTGAAAATATCTTGAAAAAATGCATTTTCATTATTGGTCATATTTTATGTGAATTCTGACACTTTTTTAAATACTCGTATATATTTAAGCTCTGATGTATATGCACCACTTCAACATCAATTGATATTTATGTTTCCAGATAACTCGTGAAGAGGTTCTTTGGCAGAATGAACTGAAAGACTTGATATGGCTAGAATTACAAGCCTATCATGCGGATCGAACTCCTATGGAACAAGATGATTATCTCTGTGCTGCTAGAGAATGTGTTGAACCTCTACTTGATGACATAAAAAATTACAAATTTCAGAGACATGTCAGAAGGTATGAATACATATAAAATATGTTTTTCTTTTTGTGATTTTATGCATGCTAATCTCAAAAAGGCTTAACCGATTTTGCTGCGGTTTTCTCTAAAGAGTTGTAAAAAGCTTATTACAACTCAAAAGAATCTGGTTGGTTGAATTCAACAATCAAATCCAAACATTGATCTATGGCTTCATTTCATAAGATGCTCAAAATCAATACATATCAATGTGTAATTGATCGATGTCTGTAGATGAAAGATATTTGAGAAAAACTATTATTGGGAATCTCTATGAACGCAAAACAATTATTTATAGAATTTTTACTATTTTTAAAAGCGCCATAATCGATTTCGTAGTGATTTTCACTATTATATTTTGAACACTATTACATTTAGCATTGATTTTTTGAACACAGAAAAACAGACCTTTAAATAATCTGGAAATTGGTTATATACCTTTGAGCCAATGTATTCTGGTCTACGTGACGTTACTTTGAATCTAATTGAAGGGTAAATGAAAGTGGTTATTGTTACTAGTTGGGCCCGCTTTTGTTCGTTATTTACATCAATGATTTTTACAACTATATGAAGCCATGTCACAGTGTGCTATATGCTGAAGATACATCCTTGATATACTCTTCTATGAATTATTCAGCTCTTGTTGGATAAGTCTATGGAAATACAAGAAAAAGCGAAGCACTGGTTCAGTATCAACAAACACTTGATGAATAAGGAAAAACACAAAACATTATTATTTCTATGGCTCTGCCATTACCTGAATTCCAGTGTGTCAAATTATTGGGTTTTATTATGGACAATAGGCTAAATTGGTCAAGTCACATTTCAAGTTTGAAAAGTAATTGATTTGTTTTTTACACATACCTACCTACCTACAGAGTTCAAAAATGTAGTGTGATGTTAGATTTAAAGTACCATTCTCCTTGAAAATTGCTTTTTTTTAACAATTTGCTATGCACTCTCTTTTGCATAATAAACATTTTCTACCAAGGTAGATCCACCCTGAAAGAGACACCATACCTAAGTCTTCATTCTACTCGATTAGAAAGTGAAAAACAATCTCAGTAAAATGAGCTTGTATACTATAAGTGAGTTCAATTTAAGTCTCAAGGATTCCCTTGAAAATCAAAATAACAAATCAGTAAATGAAATAACTCGAATCTATCACAGTGAATCTATTAAATTTAACATATTATTTATGTCTGTTTAAAATCTATTTTTTCGTTAACTAGCCCCTCCTCCCTACGAACGGAAACCCCTCAAAAGTAGAAACTTGTGCGAATGAAGGTGCGATTCCTAGCACGAATTGGGCGATGGGAAGTGAAAATCGATCGTCTGGCCTCGTGGCTTGAACTACCGTTTCACCTGAAGGTGATTGAATGAGTGGAACAAACCACTCACGCCAACCCAACTGGCTATCGTCCCATCATTTGACAGAATATATCATATGGACATTGGGGCTTTTGGCCTATCATCAGTATGGTGCAGCCAAGTGTAAGGATGGGCGCAACACTTGGTTACCAAAAGATAGAAATACAAATGCACGAAGCCAGCTCCAGCTCCGAGTGATATCCTTAACATTCTATGTGATGGTGGATGGTTTGAACTTGCGGGTATGGTGGAGCTTGTTTGTGTAGGTTTCCTGTATATTGCCATTTGAAATTGTGTTTTGTTGTGGTTATATCCGATGGTTATGTCCAGGTAGTTAAGTTGTGAGTTGTTTTCTTCCTCAATGCTGAAAAATAGTTTTTGATTTATTTCGTTGATTTCTTTTGTTATTTGATCTATTCTTATTCCATTGTTTTGTGATATGTACAGTCCATCGTCAACGTATCCGAACCAGTTTCCTTTTTCATCATGTGTTTTTATTATTGTTAAGATTGTCTCATCTATGGTTTGCAGGTATATTTCGGATACAATGCTAGATAGTGGGGATCCCATCGCTAGTCCATCTGTTTGTTTATAAATTTTTCCTTCAAATTCGAAATAATTTTGATTGAGTATTATATTTAGACTGAGTTTCATTTGGTTGATGTAGGTTTTGTCTATGTTTTGGTGTTTTAGTTTATCAGATATGGCGTTTATACTTTCGTTGACTGGTATGTTGGGGTACATGTTTTTTATGTTGAATGAGAATAGTTTATTGTTTGGGCTGACCTTTATCATTGAGATTCTGTCCGTGAGTTCCATTGAGTTTTTCACGCTGTGGTTGTTGTTCCTGTTGATTTTGTTTTTCAGTTCATCGGCTATGATTTTTGAAATTTTGTATGAAAGTGCTTTGGTAAAATTGATAACCGGTCTTATAGGTTTATTTTCCTTATGTATTTTTATCTGTGCGTTGAGTTTTGGTGCTTTTGGGTTGTTGACTATGTATCTGTTCAATGTTTTGTTGTTAAAGATCTGTTTGTTGGATTTTATTAGGCTATTACTTTGTCTTTCATATTTTGTGGTTGGATCGTGATTCATCATACTAAAATCGTTTTCCGTTATGTACTTGTTCACTTTCATACTTAATTCCTGTTTTTCAATAATAACTGGTGTCACTTTTTTCGGCTTCAACTGCTGTGAGGTTGTTGGAGATTAACTTCTTTTTTATTGATTTGATGGCTTTCGTGAATGCTGGTTTCTCCGGAGTCTTTTCTGGTTTTATGATTATTTGTTTCAGCGTGTTGATTGCTTCTGATCTGATTTCGTCTACTTTTGATGCTTCTACTTGATTTAAAGCCATCTCTGTGTCAACAATTAGGTTCTCAATGGTTTGTGGTGTGATTTTCTGGTATGGACTGAATTTTGGACCTAGTTCAAGTGTTTGTATTTCTATATCGTTGAAGTGTACGTTTGTTAGGTTGATGACTCTCGGATGGAATGTGTGGTGTTTTCTCATCGTTTCTCATCGTATACACCCAAAAGACAATAGATAAATTAGAAAACAGAATCAAACAAAAAATACATAGCAAGGATCAAACCACCCCAACAGACAAAACAAAACAACGATGGACAGCATTTACGTACATAGGACACCAAACCAAAAAACTAACAAACGTCTTTAAGCCACTGAACATCAACATCACATACAAGCCAAACACGAAAATAACACAAAAAATAAACAACTATGGAAAAGAAGAAGACAAAAATCAAAACGGGATATACAGTAAACAATGCTCGGACTGCAACAAATTCTATATCGGCCAAACCAAGAAAAAACTGATCCGAAAGAGCGCTTTCGATAGCAGGCTGTACTATCATCTTCATGGCAGTTTGATGAGTAATGTGGAGTTAATGTTCACAAAATATTCAACACAGCAATATCGCACAATAATAATTTTTTATCACTACAGTATCCACAAAATTTTATCATGTAATGAATCGTTTTATATGAAAAACTGGGTCAGGGGAAAAAAATCCGTGATCAGGATTTTTTCAAGTTCCTATTCCTCGCTATAAACACGCTTATATTACGTTTGTTTGAAGGTGGTTGACAATGTTTCGTGGTGCATTTTATTAGTACGGACTTCCATTGTCTAATATGATATAAAATTGATTTGAAATCCCTGAAAGAATCTCTAGAAAATTGAAAAGATTAGCTGAAAAATAACAATTATGTCAAGCAAAAAAAAAATGAAATTACAATGAAATAAAATACAAGCAAAACCAAAAAATTGAACTGTTAACACGATATTAAAATTAAAATATTATTGACAAGAAATAAAAATTAAGATTTCAAACCAAGTTACTTCAAGACGTTTCGATTGTTAGTATCCACAATCGTCGCAGTTATCACCTGAAGACGATTCTGTATTGAACGACTAATATAATTTTATATGGTTGTTCTTGTAAACACATTAGTAACAGTAATTACAAACAAATGTGTTAATAGAATATAGTTTTTTCTTTAGTTTTATATGCATGTAGACGACCTATCACCTTGCAAAATAAGGTTCATTGATTATACTCCTTATACTTTGTTAGTGTTCCCAATGTTACTTACTACCTGTTTTGATAACTACTCTTAATTGTTTTCTTTCTGTCACTTTTACCTAAGAGAATGAACAACAGGCTGTCTGAAATGGAAGCTTTGTCACTGTTCATAGATTTCATTCCACATTATTCGATTTCTAAACATTCGAAGATAGCTAAAAACCTGTGTCATGGCCGTGGAAAGTAATCAAACTCTTCTTTGCTTTCATTTCAAATCTGCTCATGAACAGATTAGCCATGAAAAGAGACAATGGGCAACCCATTACTTTCTAGGGACTTGGAGCCTATAAGTAGATAACATATGCATTTGCCGTTTTCGACATAGTAGTAAGGTAAAATATTTTCTATCTTATAAACTGTGACTCTCGCGACACTCAACTATTAACTGCCCTAGTTTCTTGTTTTGATATGAATCAAATTGTAGAAAATTCTACTCGGATAATGACAACTTCTGAATCTCTGATTGATGTCATTTGCATTAGTAAGGAAGTAATGGTAAGAAATTCTAATACACTTGATATGAATGGTATAACTGATCATCTGATGGTATTTTGCGATATTGATTTCGAAGGCGAAGATACTTATGACAACTTGATTTTTTATAGAAATTTCAAGAATTTCAATCATGAACTTTTTTCTCAAGATGCTGCTAACTTACCATGGGGTGATATTGTGACTATGCAAGATATTATTTCCAAAGTAAATTTTCTCAACGAATGCATCATTATGCTTTTTGACAAACATGCTCCAACTTGCACTGTAAACAGAAAACATAAATCATCCCCGTATATAACTTATACTATCAAATTGATGATGAAAACCTGTGATAGAGCTCATGCCAAATATCTTAAAGACAAGACAGCAGCCGCTAGACAGTACTATGTAACTTTATGCAACTACGTCAATGACGCAGTAAAACGTGAAAAAACAGCGTATATACAATTTGTTTTGAACAAAAATAAAAACAATTCAAAAATGACATGGAGAAATCTTACAGATTGGGGTGTTACTACAAAATCAT